GCGCAGAGACCGTGCCAGCAGTGCGCAATTGCGAACACGCGCAGCTTAGAGGGAACATTGGTCATGACTGCTTGCTCTCTCCCCGTCATTCTCTTGTGCTGGAAGTGGAGGCTTGTTGGTCTGTGGTGGAGGACTGTGTCGTGACCTGTGCTTTCACATTCAGAACACTTTGCTGAAGATTTGCATTCCTTCGCAATATGAGAGTCACTGGATAGGTCAGTAGTTATCCCTCTACCATTGCTCATAGAGTGTCAGGACATTCCTAACAATAGGAGTGAAATCCCAACTCCCAGCGTAGTGCTACACCAGCCGCACCTCCAAACCATAGCAAAGTACATCCCAGAACTAGACCCTAAAGCCGAAATACTCCTGCTACTAGGGATGTGTTTTACATGGCAGATGTTTTACAGGCACAGAAGGTCAGGCAGAGAATTAATGGCCCCCATAATGCCCCCTTTGCCCAGCGCCTAGACCTAGGGTGGATTGTAGTTGTCTGGGTCTGTCTGGGTAATGTTCATAGGCCTACAGTCAGCACCCTGAAGACAGTTGTTCTAGAAAATGGCCACCCTTCAGTTTTTGAACCATGCAGCAAGCAGCCTTCTGCAACTCAAAGAAGTGCCACACACAAATAGACCAGGTAAAGCACCCAAACAAACTCTAGGTCAAACATTTTTTAACCAGACAGATAACGACAATAAACCAGCTCACTTAATACAGGACACTTTCTAAAAATAATGGACCAAGCTATGTACAGAGATGTGGAAAACAGTTGGGTTTCCCCACTTCCGTCTAAGGAACCCCACCAGCAATTACCAAAAAACAGAAAACAGGTAGCCACAAGGTTCTCATCCTCAAAACAGACGCTAAATAGGAAACCTGAAATGCAGCAGCATTATGTGGCCTTTATAGAAAAGATCCTCTCCAATGGTCATGCTGAGGTCCCACCCCCCACCCACCCACACACACACTGAAAAGAGGAGAAGAGTGCTGGTATCTTCCAACATTTGGAGTCTACCACCCACAAAAACCTTTACTTAACCATGTCCTCCTTACCGGCCCCAATTTAAGTAACACACTCCGCAGAGTTCTTCTCCTCTTCCGGACAGAAAATGTTGCAATCATGGCAGATATACAGCAAATGTTTCACTGTTTAATGGTGCGTGATGACCACAGCAACTTCCTCCGTTTTCTGTGGCACGGGGACAACGATCTAAACAAAGAAGTTATCGAGTGAATGAAAGTCCACGTGTTTGGCAACTCAACATCTGCTGCTGTTGCCATTTATGGACTACGCAAGGCCTCAGAGTAGGTTCAAAGGACTATGGTGCAGATGTAGTAAAGTTCGTGGAGAGGCACTTTTATGTAGATGATGGCTTGATTTCTGTTTCCTCTCCTGCTGAGGCTATAGATTTGCTTCAAAGAGCACAAGCCCCACTCGCTGGACCCAACCTGCACCTGCATAAGTTCGTTTCTAACTCTCAGGCTGTTTTGCAGGCCTTCTGCCCAAAAGATTGTACTCCTGTCATTAAAAATTTAGATTTAAGTGGTGAAGAGACACAATCCCAGTGAAGCCTTGGACTAATTTTGATTTGGGAAATAACAAGAGACATTCACTTACTCATTCGCCAACTGAAACAAGCCAATTACTCGCCATGGTGTATTGTCCTCTGTCAATAGCGTCTTCGATCCTGTGGGCCTATTGGCACCTGTTACAATCCAAGGGAGGGCCCTACTCAGAGAGCTTACTTCAGAATGTTCAGATTGGGACGTACCCCTTCCAGAGGATAAACAAAGCAGATGGGAAATGTGGAGAAATTCCCTTCAGAACCTAAAAGAACTACATGTTCCCAGAACCTACACATCCACCTCACTAAGTTGAGCAAAGCGCAAGGAACTGTGTTTTTTCTCAGATGCCTCTACTAAGGCCATAGGAGCCATAGCCTTCTTAAAGGCAAATCAAACAGATGGGAACGTCGAGGTAGGCTTCGTAATGGGCAAAGCAAAACTAGCCCCCCTGTCAGAACCTACAATACCAAGGCTTGAACTATGTGCAGCCGTCTTGTCAGCAGAAATGGCTGACCTCATTCAAAATGAGTTGGACTTAAACTTTGATGCAGTGCACTTCTATACAGACAGTAAGGTAGTGCTTGGCTACATCTGTAGTCAAAAAGGTTTTACACATATGTTCACAACAGAGTACAGCGCATTCGCCAGTCATCAAGCCAGAATAGTGGCATTATGTGCACACAGAGGAAAATCCACCAGACCATGCATCTAGGTCATTGTCAGCATTCCAACTAAAAAAGTCCACCTGGTTCACCGGACCACCCTTCATCCACCATCCTGCCGCAGATACAACAAAAGTGAGTGGAATGTTTGACCTGATTGAACCAGATAAGGACTCAGAAATTAGACCATAAGTAAAAACTTGAGTCACTCACCTCCAAGTACTCATCTGGACACTGATGGCTGAAGTTACAGCCATAATAAATGCAAGGTCGCTCATCCCAGTGTCCACTGATACAGAGAAACCTTTCGTCCTATCCCCTATCCACGCTGGAGGTGAGAGTATCTACCCACATTGCAGCTAAGGCAGAAATGGACTGGGTCACGCAGAAACCTCCAAGTTGGTGACCTGTTTCTGCTCAAGGACAAGCAGGTTGCATGAAACAGCTGGCCCATGGCCAGGATCACTGCCAAATTCCCAAGCAATGACAATCGAGTAAGGAAGATTGAGGTAAAGACATGCGATCAAGGGTATGTAAAGACATTTATGAGACCGGTTACAGAATTTATCCTCCTCCTGCCAAAGGACTGATTGCATAATGTTTGTTTAACATAGTGGCCTCCTGAGGCCAGGCATGGAGTATGTTGCCCTAAGGCATTTTTCTGAATAAATAAGTTAATACGTTTAAAAAAAATAATTCTAAACATATTTGTCATTAAAAAAATTAATACATGTTAAAATGTATAATTCATGCTTTAGATGTTAAAAGGAAAAGAGCTAAGATGTATTTCCGGTTCTGGTCAGGCACTTCCGGTTCAGGACAAGTACTTCCGGCAACTCGTTTTTTGCTGGGTAACTAGCTCCACATGCTAAAGGCAGTATAGAAATGTAATCAGATGCCATCTACTCTGAATTATTCAGGCTGGAAGTTTCTTTATACGATAGTTTACACAGATAGGTTTGGACATTGATGTATAGTTTGCTGAAATGAATGTTTTAGTGAGCGTTATGCACTTTATTGATGTAAACATGCTTCTACCTGTTGAGATGGAGTTTATTATCTGTCATTTCAGTTTTCCCCACATGTTCATGGAGACAATTAAACAAGCTGCAACTAATCTCCAGGGTCTTGATTTGTGGTTTAACTCAGTGTCACCAACATCCTTGTTGAAAACACTACAGGCCTTCACCCTGATCCTGGACTGTCAGGCTACAGATGACACACCAAGAGTTTTCACTCACTCAGCAGTTCATTTAGTTTATCACATGAGGACAGTTCGAAACACAAACTCATTGGTGAGGAACTTAGTAAATATCTTTCTGTTGAATTAAATAAAACATTTTTCTATGGGAAGCATGTTTGCTACAGCACTAACAATCAGCACTTTGTCTACAAACACTTCTCAGCACTAGCAGACTGTTTCTTACCTAATGAGTCCAGGCCATGCTGATGAAGGCTTTACCTTCATATTTGGACCTGGCAGATCTGCGTCTGCGAGCACCTGCAGGACAAGTCTAAAGACAACGAGAGACAAAGTCCAGACTTTAGAAGATCAACACTGATCCTTTCATTCAGGACTGAATCTGCTGAGAACATTTGAGCTTTTGTGTCAGAATAGAAACAAGAATAATTGAAAATAACCTGTTTAATGATCGTAACAGAAGAGAGATACATTTGATTGTGTGTGATGTGTTTGGTAACAAAGCTGTACCGGGACACAGTTGTTCTGTTTGGGGCACAGGTGGAGTTTGCAGTGCAGGAAAACTTCACCAGAGCCCCCGGTGAACTCAAACATGTTAAAGGAGAAGTAGTTGGAGGTTCCCAGTCCGTTGTCCTCCACCTGCACCGTCTGGTCAGCAGGGTTGGCACAGCTGCTCACAGACAGGAAAACACACTTTGTTCAGGAGTCCATGAGAGAGATCAAAACCACATGACTCTCTGAGTCTGTCTCACCCGTTTATGATCAGGTCATATCTCGGAGTGCTGTCGGGTGATGGCTGGTCAGTTGCCCAGCAGGAGTCGGTCACCACGGCGACCATGTCTCCATCCAGCCCGTCAGTCTTCAGCTCCACCCAGATCTTCTGGTTCAACTGCACCTCAGTGCTGGACTCCACAGCTTGTGTGCGGCCGGCGTCAGTGAAAGCCTTCATGGTCAGAGTGTAATCCCAAACTCCAGATGTGATGTGCTGGATCACAGAGCTGCAGAACACAAACACACTTCAGCTTTCTCTGACTCACAAACCTCATGAGAAGCTTCACATCTTAAAGTAATTCAACCACACACCTGTCTCTGATCCTGAAGGTGGCAGTCTTGATGTCCGGCTGAGTTTGGACGCAGGAGAAGTCGATGTAGACTTGGTTGTGACGAGTGATCATGCTGTTCTGGGTCATGATGGTGTTTTTGTAGATCACTTGGCTGTTGTTGGTCTGCAGAGTCACACAATCAGATGTTGTTACTGACTTTTAACATCTGACAATTCACTTTATTAATCCCAAAGTGCACTGAATCAGTTTTATTCAATTAGAAAAAGTGAATCATGCTCTGTTTGCTTTATTTGCACAGACACATGAAGCCAAGTTAACTTTATTTTCAGTCTCTTTACAGTGATTTTAATCTGAGAACATCAACACTTTGAAGATGATGGACCTCTAACTCAGAAGTATGAAGTTAAGTAAGTTAAGTTAAGAAAGTGTCCTTGTTTTTTCAGTCCAATGTTTATGACATCTTGTCAGTGATTATAATCACAGATTTCATCAGAAACAATCTGCTAAATAGACACGTCAAAAACATCAAACTCATTCACTTTGTTCTTAAAAGCAACAACAGCAGCTTTAGTCTCCTTTCTGTCTCTGCCATTGACCGCTCGTGTCATGCAGATGAGTCGAGCACATCAAATGAAGTCACATTATTTTAACACAGCATAAACATTAGAGAGTTTCTCCTTGTACTGAATCAAACTCCTACTCTGATGTTTCTGTGTATGAACTACACAGATCGTCAACATGATGAGAAGCCACAGAGCTCAGAGGTGAAGCTGATCTCACAGAAAGATCCCAAACTGCAGCAGAGCAGGAGAAGCTCAGCAGATGCTGGAAGATGTTTGGCTGCTTGTAGAAGGTAAAGAGGAGGAGATGAAACCCACCGTGACCACCGTCCCACAGCTGTTGCTGCTGTTGAAGCTGAAGGTCACCATGTGGGTGAGCTCGTCCACCTGACCCCTGCACGTCGGGTCGTTGAGGTGTAAGGCAGAGTAGTCGATGTCTTTGTCCTCCAGGAGACAACCGACCAGAGTGACTGAAGCAGAGTCCTGCATGCAGACCGTTGCATCACCTGAACGTCACAATATCAGTCAGAAAAATCACAGTTAGAAGTTTTCCTCCATTATTCAGCTCTGTTGTCATGGTGATGTCACAGCTGTCGTACCCAAAGAGTTGTTTGCTTGGTACTTGGAGGCAAAAATGGCCCGACAGAAGCAGCGGGTGTCACCATCGACCGTCTTCTCACCACAGAACTCGTGATCGCTGCAGGTCCTGTCCTGACAGAAGGCCTCAGAGGCTACAGAGGAACACACTGATCTATTATCCTGAAAACATGGGAGCTCTAAAACTCCACAGTTCAGGTCTTTGATAAAGGAGAGCTTATTAAGGTCTTATTAAGGTCTTAGTAAGGTCTTACAGCAGCCGGTCTTTGATGTCCAGCCATCTAGAGTGTGGTTGTGTAGACTGCAGGCTCTGGCGTAGGCCTTCAGGAACTGACAGTTGAGTCCGTCCACTGCAGGATATTTACACAAAGTGTCGGTGCAGGCGGTTATGTAGGGCTCTGGGTCAATGTCACTGTTACAGGAGGAGAAGGGCGCCTCCTTCAGGAGATTACAGCTGTACCACAGATGGAAAAAACATTAATGAGAATAAAATAATCATCTGTGATCAGGTGTTTTTATCTTCCATCTGTGCTGAAGTCACATTGTTAGGTTAATTTTGATAATAGTTGTCATTGTTCTACTTAAATTTGTAAGCCTTGGTTCAAACTGTATGATCAACAACATTCTTCTGTTTCCATCCTCCTCCCAGCCTACATCTAGGTGGGGGAGGTAATTGGTTATATTGTTTAACTGCAGAAACCCTATGTGAAGGTTCTCTGTCCTTATTTAGGGAGGATGTTTACTTCTTGCCATTTATGACCTCACCTGTGCATGTGTACCATTAGAGGGGTTAAGCCATACACAGGGTGAGGGGAGATGATCCTTTGTGATCAGGAAGTTACACACACATGCTCAGTGCCTTAGTTTAATGACATTTTATGACGCACCACAGGGAGGTTTTACAAAGGGTGTTTGTGAAACTGTGTGTGAGAGAATAAAAGGCTGCAGGGGAGGCTGGTTCTTTTGGAGTCGTCTGAGGTGGAGGGCAGAAGTGCTGCTCTGAGGATCCGACCAGACTCCCCTTACTAGCAAGTAAAAACCGGTTAAGCTGTTTTTCTTACTTTGTTAAGGGGTGACAAGTCTTTGAACCAGCCGGGCCTGCGAGGTGCAGACCCAACACACATAATTTAAGTATAATACAAAAAGATGGTGGATGGCACTCAACCTTCTTAATTTTAATGAAAAAAGAAGAAAGACAGAGGTCATGATTTTTAAATCCAGTGGCTTCAGCTGCCTTCAATGGGGATGTGGTGTACAACAAAATACGCCAACATCAAGCTGTATGCCAAGAGTGAACGAGACATCGATTCACTGATCCACACTACCAGGCTATACAGCAATGACATTGGAATGTTGTTTGGATTGGAGAAGTGTAGTCGGATGGTAACAAAGAGAGGGAAGGTAGTCAGAACTGAGGGGATTGAACTACCAGAAGGCAACATTGCAGACATAGAGGACAGTTACAAGTACCTGGGGATCCCGCAGGCGAATGGGAACCATGAAGAGGCCGCTAGGAAAGCTGCGACCACAAAGTACCTGCAGAGGGTCAGGCAAGTCCTGAGGAGTCAGCTGAATGGTAAGAACAAGATCCGGGCCATCAACACGTACGCCCTGCCCGTGATCAGGTACCCTGCTGGGGTAATAGTCTGGCCAAAGAAGGAGATAGAAGCCACTGACATAAAGATAAGAAAGCTCCTTACCATGCATGGAGGGTTTCACCCCAAGTCCAGCACCCTGAGGCTGTATGCTAAGCGGAAGGAAGGAGGCCCAGGATAGGTGAGTGTCAGCACCACAGTCCAGGATGAGACAACGAACATCCACAAATACATCACAAAGATGGCCCCAACTGACCGAGTGCTCAGTGAATATCAAGGCAGCAGAAACCCAAGAAAGAGGAGGGAGACGAGGAACCATCATGGAAGGACAGGCCCCTGCACGGTATGTACCACCGGCAGATAGAGGAGGTGGCTGATATCCAGAAATCCTACCAGTGGCTGGACAAAGCTGGACTGAAAGACAGCACAGAGGCACTAATCATGGCAGCACAATAACAAGCTCTGAGTACAAGATCCATAGAGGCTGGGGTCTATCACACCAGGCAAGACCCCAGGTGCAGGCTGTGTCTGTGTAAAGATACCACTGAGACAATCCAGCACATAACAGCAGGGTGCAAGATGCTAGCAGGCAAGGCATACATGGAACGCCATAACCAAGTGGCCGGCATAGTGTACAGGAACATCTGTGCCGAGTATAACCTGGAAGTCCCGAGGTCAAAATGGGAGACGCCCCCAAGGGTGGCGGAGAATGACCAAGCTAAGATCCTGTGGGACTTCCAGATACAGACGGACGAAATGGTGGTAGCTAACCAACCGGACATAGTGGTGGTAGACAAACAGAAGAAGACGGCCGTAGTGATCGATGTAGCGGTTCCGAATGACAGCAATATCAGGAAGAAGGAACACGAGAAGATGATTATAGTTGCACCTTTAATAAAAGTTTTGATTTAATGCTAGTGGCTTTAATAAACATTTTAATGCAATGCTAATGCTGAAAGCTATACGTAACAGTAAAACATTTTCTTTATTCCCACAATACCACTGTGTCCTTTCCTCGTTAGGTCAGTTACGTTTGGTTTGTTAAGTTTGCAGTTCTCTGCCTGAGTTCAGTTTCGTTTCTTTTTATGAAACATTTATTACTTTTGTAAATGAAATTATGGGGGTTAAATAAATGAAAATCCTACATTTTTAATAATTCATTTGACTCCTGCTTTTTTAACTTTCTTAATTTTTACTGCACTTAACTTGCACTCTCTGCCGTGACCAAAAATATTTCCCATGTGTGGGACTAATAAACGTTTATTTCATCTTAACTTATAGCTGATTTGATGTTTTTTTCTGGTTATCTTATGTTTTTGTACATGACTTTGTTTAGCTGTTATATTGTTTTAAAGTGAATTAGAAATAAAGTGGTAAGATGTTCCGTACTGTGTGGATCAGTTGCTCACCGTTCAGTCACACTGGTGCAGTTGATCGTGTTGTCATCAGTCTCACTGTCCTGCATCTCACAGCTAGTGGGTGACAAACAACAACCTTCAGACTCATTCATATAAACAGAGAATACAGTGGAACCCCGACTTACGAAATTAATCCGTTTCTGAGGGGCTTTTGTAAAACGAAAATTTTGGTATGTCGAAGCACCCATTGTGGTTTTTGAGTGAGGCGATGTCGGCTGGAGACGAAGTTCTCGGTGGCGGAGGCTGAAGAAAGCATATGTATGCATGCATACGGCACCACCACGAGGAAAACTGGCATAACATCATAACATCAGGGTGTAAAGTTCTTGATTTTTTTCATTCAAAGATAAATCAGGCTTTAAACATAAGAATGTAATGCAACAGACACTGAAGTGCATGTCAAAGACCAAAGAAAACATTATTTTTTATTAACAAACATTTTTAATCCGTTAACAGCATCTAAAAACACTACAAGTGAAAAAGAACTGGAACAATAAACAATGCACTATTCATTTAGACATTTTTACACAATTATTAACACTCCAACTTTCTTTGTTATGTCTGCTTATATTTTATGATGTATCGCATTTGGGTAAAAATATTACCAATAATTCAAAATTAGAGGAATAAGTGTACATGTGCTGTATGTATGCATGCATGCATGTGTATGCTGCGTGTACAAAACATTCTAAACATTAAAACTAAAACTTACATATTTTTTAAACTTGTACTGTATAATTTTTTAAATTTTCTATTTTCTATATTTTTTATTTTATATTTTTGTGCATTTTTATGTTTTTTAACTAATCGCTACTGCTACTTTCATCGATTTTTGTCTTCTAAGACACACTTTGATCTGAAGGTTGACTTGTTGCTGGCCTCCTTGTGAAAAACCTATCTAACGACGTCTGTCTCTGTCTACTTTTCAGAAAGGATCTGAAGTGGGAGAGGCAGACATCACTAAAATGCTCAATAGCACGAGCGGTGAAGTTCTTTTCAGGGTGATTTCTTTTGACAAAATCAGCCACCTTCTGAAAATCGCAGAGAATGTCCTTGATATCGGCTGATGGTATGACGGCCTCCTCCTCCTCCTCGCTGAACTGTTGCTGTACTGATGAGTGCTGCATCGCCTCCAACTCTTGCAGCTCTGCCGTTGACAGCTCCTCTTGATGTTCAAGCACAAGGTCGTTTATATCCTCCTTGTCAACCTCCAGTCCCATGGTGGTGCCGAAATTTACGATCTCCTCAACTTCGACTTCAGGTTGAGGTTCTCTCTCCTCCCCCTCAAAGCCTTCAAAATCTCAAGGGGCAACAGCATCAGGCCAAAGCTTCCTCCAAGCAGAATGTAGCTTCTGATTACTCACCTCCCGCCATGCCAAAGAAATCAACTTGAGGCATGCAACGATGTCAAAAAGATTTTTCCAAAACTCCCTGAGGGTGAGCTGCGTTCTCTCTGTTATGTCGGAACACTGTTTGAACATGTGTTTCATCTAAAGTTTCTTAAAATTAGAGATGACTTGCTGGTCCATGGGCTGGAGGAGAGGGGTCGTGTTGGGAGGGAGGAAGAGAACCTTGATGAACAAGAACTCCTCCAGGAGGTTGTCCTCGAGGCCAGAGGGGTGGGCGGGGGCGTTATCGATGATCAGCAGGCACTTCATGGGGAGGTGGTTCTCCTCGAGGAACTTCTTGACAGCAGGGCCAAAGACCAAGTAGACCCATTCGATAAAGAACTGTCGGGTCACCTTGGGGTTGGACCTCCACATAACCTCGAGCCTCTCCTTTAAAATTTTGTGTTTCTTGAAGGCACGCGGGTTTTCTTACCTTACAGTCCCCACTGGACTAGCACACAGGGCGAGGGTAAGACGGTCCTTCATGGGCTTGTGGCCTGGTATCTTTAGTTCCTCTGCGGTACGCCACGGCATTTTTTCCAGAAGAGGCCGGTCTCGTCACAGTGGAATACCTGCTGGGGGGTGTAGCCTTCTTGATTTATGAGTTCCTTACATTTTTTAATAAATTCTTCAGCAGCTGTCACGGCGAGTGAGATGAGCCGTGTGGGGATGATAAAGGAGGATCCAATTGCATGGCAACATTTAACAAGTGAAAGGAAACAGAAAGACTGATGAGAAAGAATAAAGTTTAACTGACTTTTTGATGGCATTTTACACACAGTACTGGTACAGAATCTAGAAAATGTGGGAAAATACTGGCATCATATACAGTACAGTACTTATTTCTGAAGAAATTATGATGGGACCCTCAAAAAAATTACTATGTACAATAATGGATTTCTATACATTTGACATCAAATGAAAACTTTGGTTGTAAGATTCGGATAATTATTTGTTAAAAGTGAGAAACTTTAAATGAGAATAAGAAAGAAAAGTATTTCTTTGTGCCCCCCTTTCCCTGTTAATGCCCTACTTAGCCCCCTGGCAAAACTTTCCCTGCACAGTTACCAGCTGTCAGCTACTTAGAAAAGGATCCTGGTGTTATTTGTCTGTCAGAAACAGTTCATAACTTCCCTTCAACTCATTCATGTCACCTAAAAGGTAAACCTGTTTCTCCATCACCTGTTCACGTGTGATGACTGAGTAAGGACATCTCCTGGTTTCATCTTCATGTTTCCCTCTTGCCACTTATCTAAACCGACATTATGACCAGCAGCTTTACAGCTGTGGCTCCAGCAAACATCAGCTGATACTAGAAAGTAATATTAATTAAATTCTAACAACAGCTAATCAGGCTTAAAAAAGATCCTGGGACCATTTTGTGGCTTTTGCATTTTTCAAATCCAAGCCATTTGCACTGTGTTGAATGGAATATAGCCAAATCTCC